ATCTAACTAATAATTTATCTCCAATTAAATTGAGATATGCAAGAAATGGATGGAGGTGAAAAAGAAGATTGTAAACTTAGGCGAGATATTCTTTTGTTGCTGTAACGAGTGTGGGCATTTCAAACAGAGCAATGTTTCATTCGACCCAAAAATATCTTTGCAATTTGAAGGTCAGTCTAGTGGTGTTTATACAACAAAAGTGCATCAAAATGTGTTTGTTTGGGTAAATCTAAGCCTAAAGATCCAATCAAAATTTTGTCGCGTTTATTCTAAAAAATTGCACAAACTGAGCTTATATATTGTAAAGTTCTTTTTTTTTTTTTTTTTTTTTTTTAAAAATTTTTTTTTACCTTACCTGATATCTCAACATCTAAAGTGGATGAAACATTGTCTTTAGGCCTTCTGAACCTGTTTGAATGGTTTAATTAAATTTCGAACATATGAAGATTCAAGTTAAAAACATGTACAGCATGCAATAAATTTCAAACCTTATGACAAGCCTCGAATTTTTTTCTAACTAATCTCGAGATGACCTTTTTTACGAAGTTTTTTAGTAATGCCTTTAGTTTTTGACACTTGTTTGGCGATTATTATTTCAAAATTCTCTTTTCTATATTCTCATTTTCAACCATACATTTAGACAATAAGATATTTTATACGTAAATTCAAAACTTTTTCTACTTTTAACCACATATTCTAAGAAATTCACTATTCAAAATTTCATTTTACCCAAATAATGATTGTAAAATAGGGGCTAAGTATTTTGAACCCAAGATGTTTATGCTTGCACACTTTCCACTTCTAAGCAATGGAAGCTCAAATGATTAGATTTCGATGTAGATAATTCACTTGTTCGAAATTCGATCCATTCCATAATCATCTTGGAACGTTCTTCATCGTCCGCTACCAAGTCTACTAGCTTGGCAAATGCAAGGCAAAAAAATTATTTAGCATTACTAAAACCCATATGACCTTTTTGTCAAAAGCTTACAAAATCACGTTTTAAAATGATACAACATGATAAATACCCCAAAAAAAGTGCAAATTTCTCAAATTTTTTGAACACTTGGAACCCATTTTAACAATTATTTCCTTAAAAGGGAACTCCCTGAAGAAATAATGGAATCGTGCTCAATATTTCACTTCAAAAAAAAAAGAAAATTATCCATGTTGTCGGCGTTGATGTTGTCGTCTTCAATGTTGAAAATAATGTGAAATATGTTTTGGGTTGTTTCTCCTTCCATTTGGTTCAACTTCTCTGTAAATGGGTGGCTGGGATAGTATGTACATGTAGCACAATTTATAAATTCGGTCAAAGTCTAATATTAATTTTAATAACACATTCATGACTATTATTCATTTATTATTCAAGCATTTGGGATCCACTGCTATTCTTCGGTTTATATACTTACCAAATGGAGGCTAAATTATAAATATTTTTAATCAAATTATAGTGGAAATTACAAAAATCCCTAGAGTTAAAATCTAGGGTTCAAAAATCAAATGAGTACTTTAACATTTCAAAATTCAGATTTTACATGTTTAAACATTAAATATTTTTTATTTTCTTTCTAATCTCCTTCTCTCTCCTCCCACCCTATTCTCTTTCCCGCCCGAATTTATTCTCTATCCAATCTCATTCCCTCTCCAATATTTCTTCTCTCTCCTCCTACCTATATTATCTCTCTCCACCCGTCTTCTCTCTCTCTGGCAGCTTAAGAAAACGATTCCTGCTCCGGCAATATCCACTAATTTGAGCGGCGAGGCTTATATTTTCATTTATTTTTATCGTGGCGGCGACAGTGATGTCGAGTTTGGGGTTTATTGGTGGTGGTGTGCTGTGGTGGTGGTTGGGGCGGTAGTAGTTATCGCGAGTGTTGATGGCGGTCTGTAGTGGTCGACGGTGACGATGGTGGTTGTGGATGGTGGTTTGTGTGTGGGATGACATGGGTCGAGTGGCGAGATCTTGTGGTTTGTTTTTTATTGTATTGGTGATTGGTCTCTGTTAATGTGGTGGTGGTTTGTGTTGAAAAGGTGAGTGGTGACTAGTGGTGTTGTGCTTGCTGTGGTAGTGGTCACAGATTATTTGATTGATTGTGATCATTAAATTGGTTAATCTGTAACCAATAAATAATATGTAACAGATAAAAAAGATAAATCGTGACTAATGTAATTTAAAAATATATTAATTTGTGACCGTCTAATAAAGTGTGACCTATAACATTTGTGTGTGATCGATACATCAAATTGTGACGGATTACTTTTTGATCTGTGATCATTGAACAAACTACGACTTATAAATTTTTGAATTGCAATCCTAAAATAATTCGTGGCATTAAAAAATTCTGATTTGTGATCGAAAAAATGATATGTAACTATTTAAATTGTGAATCTGTGACCAAATTGTATAAATATGTGACCATAATATATTTAATTAATAAAATAATTAATTAAATCATACATAAATTTTATTAAATAAATTAAATCATAAATTTTAGTGAGTTTGTTCACAGATGAAAACTAGTTGCTTGATTTTAGGGATTAATTGCAACGAAATCCTCTCTCTCAGATGGAAATTGATGGAAACTATTGCTTGATTTTAGAGATTAATTGCAACGAAATCCTCTCTCTCTCTAGGATTCTCTGAGTTTTGAAATTACAAACTTATCATCTTAAAACTAAAATATAGCAAAGTTAATATCTGGCTTATGAAATTTTCCCCAAATTATATTTATCTACATATTTTATAGGATTTGCAAGACTAATCGATCTCCTCCCACTTAAAGCTTCTCTATTCATCTTACGTACTTCCATCCTTGATTGTATTGGACTTGTACGAGCTTGTCAAACCTATCCTATAGATTTTTCAATGATCGATTAGTTAATATGAGTTTGATAAGAGAAATAGTAAGTAAAGATCCAATAAAATTCTCATAGTTGGCGGATTAGAAATGAATTTATCTTATAGCAACGAATCGAGACAAAACAGAAGCCTAGAAATGTGAATGAGTCGAGTCGGCTCACGAGCCAAAACTTAAAAATGGTTCAAACTTTTTTTACTCTGAGCCAAGCCAAACTTTTGTTTGATCAAAAAATTTAGACTCAATCTGAACTTTTGACTCGATCCTTATAGAACTGAGTTGACTCGTGTTCTTTATTTTATTATTTTAATAACAATAAAATACAGGAAGCTAAGTAGCTATCCGTGTGCAAGAAGCTTGTGCTGCCTTCATTTCACTTTGTTTTTTTTAGGTTGGATCGTCACAGGTCGAAAATGGCCCAAGTCAATGAACCACACGAGTTGGCTAGAGCCGATGAGGAAAATTCATACTTCTATAGAAGCCTCAACCAAGAACTCCTACTGTCGAACCAAATAATTGAATCTTGCCCCTCGGGGCAGAACTCAGTGGTATAAATGATAGGAATTAGATAGTCTCAGCCTTACTGACAGCCGCAGTATGAGGGTTCGATTTCTGATATATGAAATTAGATTCTTTGTGGGTACCAGTGTACGGGTAAGTTCTTGTTCTCTAACCTGTTGGGACACATGCCGCGATTTACCTCCCTCACGATACTTTAGATGCGGACCGGTGGGGGCCCTCAAGGTTAGGTTTTAACCTTTTAAACAACTGAATATTAACGGATTGCTAGGCTCTTAGATATCATATCTGATA